GGTTATTGTGGGCCAAAAAATAATTTATTAACCCCTATTACATATGTAATTAACATATTAATACACCATGCTCTAAAATTTGTATATCTGTTTCCACGACATAGGAGAAAAATATTACTTAAAGAGATTAAATTTTAGGTTCTAAAGAAATTTTTTTTAAATTATTATCAAATAACTGTTTTAGGAAATCTTAAACAATAAAAGTTTAAATAATGCAGGTTTAGATATCTGTGTAGTATTTGCAACATTGCAGATATTCAAAGCAAGACTAGAATTGTTAAGTTAAAAAAAAGCAATTCTACTTTAGCATAAATTTTGAATAAAACTCAGGATTCAAGTTGCTTTTTTTGACTAATTTTAATATTACACAAGTGTGTTTCTCTTCCAATTTCATTTGTATTTTAGATTTCATTTATTGTGTGTTAACCCCTTAATTGCCGTGGAAAACATACAAGGTTCATTTCCCAGTGCCACGGTTTTTTTACACAGGCACGGGTGTAGTTATGCGATTTATTAAGGAGAAAATAAGTGCAAGTTTTACTTTCTAAAAACTGTTTACTTTCACAAAATAAAGATTAAAAGAAAAAAATGAATGCACAAAATTTAATGTTTTGAGTAAAAGTATAATAAAAAGATGTAAGTATAATAAAAAGGATGTTTTTATAATAAAAAGATCCCTAAAATGGAGTTTCGATCAATTCATTTTTAGACCAGTAAAGTGTAATATCAGGTTTGTGAAATCAGTATGCCTAAAAAAACATATATTACTTCTGAACTGGTTGAATGGCACGATTTTGTTCTTGATTTTTCGTTTGCAAGGTGTTGGTTCATATACTCGTCTACAAAACGGTTAGTTTCAGTAACAATATGAAGCACGAGCAGTTCATCAAAAAATAATTCAAAAAAGATAAATGGGTTTGAAACATCCGTGATATCTTTTTTTATTCCTGGAACCTACTACAAAAAGTAGATGAAAACAGAGGACACAGAATTTAAGAAAAAAAAAAGTTTTACTCAATTAACACCAGCCAATACCCACGCAGTCATTACTTTCACCGCTTTAGGCACATCCCCCTCTCCAATTTCTTCCCACACTTCTCTGAAATAGTATCCTCCTTTGCATTTGTCAAGGTTATTGTGGTGTTGCATTCCAAAGCTTTTCGAATAATTTTACGGGTAGCAGCGCAAAGCAAATGATAGTACACAATGATTGGAAGGGCGTATATATATGCCCAGGGCAGTTAACGCGTTGGCTGAGCAAGGCGTATATACAGTCAAAAGTCTTTAATCCGGACTCGTCGGGACTTCGGCGATTCTTCCGGATTATAGATCATCAGTTTAAATCTGGTAAGATGGCATGCAGAAATTATAAAATTAAAAATATGAACCGTAATTTATAAAATAATGAGCAATTATGATCTAAAGGGTATCAAAATTTACAAAAAAAGAAGCTTAATATTTATTTGTTTACTTTATTAAACATTTCTTTCAACACGCGCATGCGTAAAGCATACCTTACGCATAGCCGAAATTAGAAAATTGCAACCAGAAAACTATTTGATTTGTATTCGTGATATTTATAATGACGAGGAATTTGATTTAAATCATATCAAAGACGGAGTACATCGAGATGAAATACTACATTTAGTAAGGAATTATAAGCCGAATAAAATAAAAACATCTGCCCTGAAGATAACGATAGTGCTGACAGATCAACTTCCAGTTAATTGCGCACCACGGCGTCCCCCCCCCCGCGCAGAGCAGCTTGAAATTGATAAACAGATTTCGGAACGGTTAGATAAACAAAGGATATGCCTTTATCCATTTTTTGTAGCAATTCGTTTTTTGTTTGATGGACATCGAAACATGCTTTCGTTTTCTAGATCCTTTGGGAGCTCCAGCATCGGAAATTCTATTTGACATAATCGAAAGTTCAAGCTTACTTTTATAAAATTGCTCTTACAGTCTGCAAAAAATAATAAGCCGGATCCAATTCGAAGATTAAGGAACAACGCAATCATCAACATTAACTGAAATAGATAATTAGATAATGTTAGCTCATACTGTCCGTTATACATTAAACGTGCACGCGAAAACGTATTCTGTGCTTGAGCAGACGCACATACGCAGTCGTAAAGGTCTTATGCGCACGCGTAAACGCCTATGCGCATGCGTCAATGCGGCGCATGCGCAGAAAGATTTTAGCTTTGAGGTCCGGATTTTAGATCATTCCGGATTATGAGTGTCCGAATTAACGACTTTTGACTGTATACGCCCACGGAAGTTAAGAGGTTAACATGCAAAAATTAGAAATTTAATTAAGTATATTGCAGCAATTAACATTTTCGCTGTTAGAGAATCTTGAGTTTTTCCAATGAAAATAATGAAATTTTTGATAAAGTTATTCATCAAATCAATCTCAGTTTGTTATAAAGAAAAGAGACATAGACATCATTAAATATATTTTAACAGCACAACAAAGCAACATAAAAGCTCTCATCACAATATATACTTACGAAAACATTTAATTCTGTATATCAAGGATAAAATTTTATAACTTGCAATGGCTGAATATGTATAATATATCCATCACACATGCCCACAATACTAAGTAGAATGAGGTATATACAGAATTTTAGATATAGATGCATAAAAAGTTAGGCAAAAACGGAAGCTTATTAAATGTACCCCTTAAATATACAGCAGGTAAACATTTTTACCCATATACCATATTAATCAGAATGACTTGTACAAAATTTTATGGCTCTGAGATACTGATGTAGTTCATTATCAAGAATAATGTGTACATGAAATAAAATTACTGAATTTTATAAAGCAGTATTAGCACTATTAAACGCATTTATTTTTCTAAATCCTTGATGAATGCTATAAAATCCTTGATGATATACCATATTAATCAGAATGACTTGTACAAAATTTTATGGCTCTGAGATACTGATGTAGTTCATTATTAAGAATAATGTGTACATGAAATAAAATTACTGAATTTCATAAAGCAGTATTAGCATTATTAAACACATTTATACATGAGTGCTATCTAAATCCTTGGTACATTAAATACATGCAGCTAGTTGACAGAAATCCATGTATAGCATTCCTATTAATCAGAATAGAGTTGCACACAAAGTTTTGAAAATAAAAGATTCGGATGCACAAACATTTTAAAATTAAATAAGTACAATGAGGTATATACTCAATTTAAACATATATGAATATAAAGTTAGGCAAAAAAGCAAGCTTATTAAATATAGTCCTTAAATATACAGCAGCTAGGCATTTTAACCCACATACCACAATAATCAGAATGATGTGTTTATGTATACGTTAAATCATTTCATAATTGATGTTAAAAATACTTATTTTCAGTCATTTTATAATGTGTAAATGAAACATGCACATTTATTTATTAATTTTACTCTTTTAATAAATTTTTCGGGAAAAGTATATATATATATATTCTGAACTGATTAAAACTGATTTATCGATATATATATGTCAATAAATCAGTTTTACTTGACAGTTTTATCCAATTACTTTTAATTATCATTCTTAAAATTAAGTAATCCTAAATGTATGTCATTATGTAAGGGCAGGCTACAAGGAAATAAATAAGAACACTGAAAGAGATTAATAAATCGGTGGAAATATGAGATCTTAAACTACAGATAATTTTAATGTATGTAGCAATTATAATTCGAAAAGCCCGCCATTTTCATAATTTTATTTCTTTCTACATGTATCAGACTATGGGTAGAACCGTGCAAAATAAATCAATGAAATTATTACTTTCAGCTTATCACAGTGGGTTTTGTTAACAAATGAAATTTAAAATAAAACTTCAATAATTATAACATATTTTGAACAACACTCAATTTTCATTTAGTTGCATTTGCTAAGCGTTAAATATACGTTTTCCAGATATGCTCTTGATCCATCTTTCTTTCAGAGTTTCCTCACAGGGAAATTCATGGAAAGACACATTTTTAGTTTTCCTGTGGTCGGAACTGCAGTATGGCACGCGACAATATACCATCCTATGTTACTATTAGTAAACTGCGACACTTTTTAATAAAATACGCTTTTTATTAATAATGAGTCACGTTACAAATAGTGAACGTATAGCAAAAGTCTAGAGAATGCGAGCACCATCTAGTGATGAATTTTGCGAAAGCCACTGAAAACTGGGAACCGGAGTTTCGTTCAGTCTGGCAGGCCTTGAGTATAAGTTGGCCTTGCTTTTACTGAAGTATTTCTCTGGCTACTCACCAGAGGGCACCCTCATTGTTACAGTTAGTCCAACATTTTATATTAGCAGCAGAGTTTATATTAATGGATTGGCTACAGTAATAAATTTTTGTCCCTATGTTAAATATGTATCTATCTACTCATATCTATGTTGAATACTAAAGATTTTTATTTGTTAAAAATTTTGGTAACTTGATTTTTTTCTCTTTCCATGTTTAAACTTATGACAGTGTAGCCTTATTTTGATAGCATTTAATAGAAACTGTTTACAGTTGTTGGAAAATTTAAAGCCAGTATATGTATGCCCTACCATGAATTTTTCTATCTTTATAGAACTTTTAATTTTTTATGCAAATTTTTAAGTTTATTCCAAGTTTCTGTCTTAGTGATACTTATAAATGTATTTAATTGCATTTTTAACTCGGATATCTCATGTCCACTACAGTGTTACTAATATTAGACCTACTTATAAGTATACTGCATTAGCGCAAATGATTTTTAATATCTGCAAACTAATGAGGTGGAACTCATAAATGCAAATACTAACTGACTGTTGAAGATAGGTTTTACTGAATTTTTTTGTTTGCATTAATATTTAAAATACGTCTAGTTAGGGTTTGTTATTTGATTAATATTTAATTTAGGAAATTTATTATCCTTTTTAAAAATATTCAGATAGTTTATATTTTATGCAGTCATAAAGTATCTTTTTAAATTTTAAACTCTCTTTTTAATAGAACTTAAGGATCTGCAGTTCTCACTAGAAAGTCTTTATAAGAAAAATTTAGATTTGAAAGTTCTTGCAAACATGAAGTCAAGCAAGTCAAATAGATCAAGAAACCAAGAAAATGCTGGAAGAGATGGTGGTATATTGCCTAGATTTTTTTTTTTTATAAAGATAATTTATTGCTACATTTGAAGAGCTTATATATATAGTATGTCATTAATTTCATATTGTGCAATTTGTTCCATTTCTTATCATTCATTTATTCACCTGAATACTAAATTTGTGCAGTTTGATGTAATGCTTGTGTTAACATAAGAAAGAATTAAAAAAAAAATTGCTTGTATAATTTTTTATAGTGATTAAAAACTTAAATTTCATTACTAAAACGTAGCAGCAGAATTGAAACACAAATAACTGCAAAGATATTGATATGATCCATATAAAATTTGAAAGAATTGATCAATAAAAGAAAAATATAGATGTCATTTCAGAAAAAGACCATCCTGTTTTAAAAAAAGGCATATTAGTATATTGTTGGTTATAAATCTGGCATGTGCAATATTGGAAATAAATTCAGCTTGGAATATATTTTATAGAATCCCTTTGAGACATAAAAATTCAAAATAAAATTTTGTTGATTAGCCAGCTAGAAGAGGTGATATGTGTCTTTCCCTGCACAAGTCATAATATTCCTTCAACATACAGTGTACATACATCCTGTGTTGTTATTAAATAAGTTAAAATCTGTTGAAAAAAAGGTTTATGAAGCATATTGAGCCAAAAATTTCAGAAATAGGCTAGATGATTGGTGCATTAAAAATACTGTACGTTGTTAATACAGACATTTAATAGAAGAGCATGTGCTGGCTACATAAATCTGATGTGAAATAAATGTAGTTTTTTCTCACTAAGCTTTAAAAGTGAGCACAATGTGAGGGCATCAAACTTTTAATACTGATGAGAATGGCCATTTGTATCTTGTTTTTCCTGAAAATGCCCAGGCTTGCAGGCATGAAAGAACACAGCTGTGTTCACATGCCTGCAAGCCTGGGTATGTGTGAACACAGCTGTGTTCTAAAAAGAAATCAGTTTTGTTTTGTTTTAAACAAATGCTGATGGCTTGTATTTGCTTAATGCAAGGGTTGTGGAATTTTTTAGATACGTATAGGTTTTCAAATTTATGAAAGTTTAGGAGTGTTCAAAGTAGTCTCCTCCGACATCAGTGCACTTCTGTAGGTGAATTTTCCGAAGATTAAATGCCTCAAGCCATTCATTTCTTGGAATCGATGAAAAAAATTTATTTATATTTATATATATCTTATGTTTGGAATGAAAACCACATCTGCATAAGTTCTTTTTTAGATTAAAAAATAGCCAAAAGTCACACATAGCTAGATTGGGTGAATAGGATGGATTTTCTTTCATTTTGATGTGTTTTTGTTCAAGAAACTAAACTGTCAATCATGCTGAAGGAGATGATGCATTGTCATGGTGGAGCTTGAACATTCATTTCTTGAAAAATTTTTGGAAAACACTTACTGGTGTACGAGTTAGCTATGACTGCCCTCTGTTCTTCCAATACAAGTTACAATTTTAGAAATAATGTAGTGGCCAGCATCTTTAAGTAATTTAAGGGTTTCTTTACTTATTCCAACACACACCTCTTTTTGGTGCTCAGGTAAGTTATGGGGAACTCCACGGCAAATTAGTTTTTTCGTATGGAATTTTTCATGAATAATTTTACGTATTGTAGGAAATCCAGTGTTAAGGTCCTTCTGTATCATTTGATAGGTGCAGCAATTATCATCAGTTAACATTTTCCATATGGCAGACACATTTTCAGGGATTACTGCTGACAGCGGCCTCCCTGATGTTCATCTTTAAGAAAGCTGCAACCTTTGTGAAATTCTGTAAACCATCTGAATACAGTAGCTTGAGATGGACCTTCATTTCCAAATGCTAACTGTAGATGTTGAAAGCATTATTCTTGATTTAATCTCAATTTAAAATCATAGCTTGATAATGTCCTCGCATGAACTTCAAATACTTTCTGCCTAAAATGTATTCAATGGCAAACTACTTGCAATTAGCCAATAAAAAATTGTCTGCTGAGCTAAAATAGTTCATATTTTCCAAATCTAACCATTAATTTTTTCTCCTTCTTTTTTTCTCTTTCTTCATTTTTTCCCACTTATTGTCTGTGCAAATTTAAAAAATTTCTTACCTCTGCATTGTAGTCAGTTACATATACGAGTATTATGTTCCTAACTAAAATAGTTGGTAAGAGGTGGATTTGTGCCTTAGAAGATCTAACTTATAATGCTACTAATAATGTACTTTTATTAGATTAACATTTAATAAATTGTAGAAAAAATTCTTTAATAATTTTGTTGCTAAGGTGTTCTACTTTTAGACTAATGTGCCAAAATTTTTTATGAAATAGATGTTCTGATGTTAGTTATGTGCCCAGATGTTTAACAATATTCTTGGTAGGCTAAAGTGTAATAAATGTTTTGTTAAATAGGGACAAAGAAATAATACACGATTAAGAAAAAATATTCCTTTAATAAAACTTAAGGGAAAAAAAATTGTTATTCGAAGTAGGAAATGTAAAAATTAAAGAGTTATGCTTTATTCTCTTTGCTATTATAATGCTTATTTTTCATTTTACTTATTTAAATTTACTTTTTCTCAAGAAGTTCAACGAAGTCTGCGTTTTGAAGAAGCATGTGAAATGATGAAAAAGAATGCTGCAAAGTTTCTTGACAGCAATTTACTTTCGGATTCTTCCTCTTCTGAAGATGAACTAGATGATTCAGCTATCATAGAAAATACTTTCTCCCATTATAGTGGTAAATGCACAATTTTTATCTCCTTTTGTTCTCATGAAATTCCACTATAACAATTACAGTATGTTAAAAGCAATTTTTTGAAAAAAAAATTATGTATGTTTTTACTTGTCTTACAATGAAAAATTTTGAATTGCTTAAAATCTTCTATCTTTAATCTAAGTTATTTAAACCTTTTTGAAGAATTCTAGTTTTGAAACAATCTTAATTTGTACTCTTCTTTGGATAGTGGATGAAAATCTTAATCTTAAAAAAACAAGAGAATTTTTACAAGATATATTAACATCTGGAGCAGTGGTCTGTCTGATATGCATTGAATCAGTCAAAAGAAATGATAAGGTAAATTAAATTATTAAATTATAAAACCCTTTTCATATAAGAAAGTTTCTGTAAAATGTTAATATTTTTTATGAAATATTTAGAAGTTAAAAATATAGTCATGTATTAAAACAGCATGTCATACCTTAACTTTCTATGCATGATTTCTAAGAATTTAATTTATATAATATATAAATGATATCTTTTTATTGTGAATATCTTTTTATCATGAAAGATAATAAAATATTATCTTTGTATCATAAAATACATAGTTACATAATTATGTGCCTATTTACATAAAATGAACTTATAAAATAAATTACACATCAAAGAATGCATCACACTATATCTGTGCAACTTTTTTGTAAAACAAAAAAAATTATAAATTAAAAATTATGTTCTGAAACTGCAGTTAAATCTTACAAGAATAAAAAAAATGAGTAAGTTATTTTGCATTGCAGTTTTTAACCCATTAATGATTGCACTACTGTTACAACATTTGCAAATAGCCCAAAATAAGTCAATGCCTTTGAAAATATATATCGAAATGATATAGGTACTTCTTATAGGAACACATATCACCTAACTTTGTACTTGAAACGAATGAGATTTGAGAAACATTCTGCATAAATGTCTACAAAAATGAGGTATCATCTGTTTATGTAGATACATGTTTTGAATACAACCTCATATGGCATGAACTGGCATTTCAGATATGTAAGCAGAGACGAATTTTAATCAGTCTTTCGGTTTTATCCAGTTCTTCATAAATTATAATGTTTCATTTAATGTTAAAAACAGTTATCTAGGATATTGGTTATTTTGGAGCAGTTGTTTTGCAGAATCTGTAAAAGAAAGTACTATTTTCTATGAAAATCTGTATATACTCACAAAGACACTGCTTTGAACTGACGTTGCATTCTTGCTACATTTAAAAAATGCATATTTATACAAGTAAAATAATAACCTTATATTTTGATGACGTTATGCAATCTAATGTTTCTAGAAGACTGGTATGTCTTCATAAAATTATTTGATTGGTGCTGGTTTCTATGAGATCTAATCAAAATTAAAACGAAACATTTGCAAAAAAGTACCAAAATGATCATTTATTTTTATAAAAATTTTTAATGTAAAAGAAAAACCTTTTTTTTATCCAGAAATAATGAAGTTTTATCTGTAATATACAAAAAAGTTTTTTTTTAAGTTCTTGTGATAAATAACAAAATATGTAAAGTTTCACAGCTTTGTGTTTTGAAAAATTTTAAAGTATATCAAAATTAACCAGATTAATATTTTCATAATTAATTGGTACTTTCTTAGCTTTATGGCCCCAATCATGATAGCACCAAGATTAGTGCAAACTCATATTTACTTCTCACATGCAGATCCTGTGTCATGTGTCTGTGATTGCTTTTAATATAGTACTAAAAGCATTTTTTCTTTTGAGGTTTTTACCTTTTAAGGATATGAATTCTGCAAGCTAGGACTCAATGTGTAGCTCATTGCTTTTTATTTCATGTGGCTACACAGTGTAGAGCTGCACACTTTCAGCATTTTGTGTATGAGCAGCCATTTCTGGAAATGGAACAAAATGGAATGTGCTTATCTTGCTTTTTTTTCAGTTTCTGTGTTTTGTTTGCTGACTAAAAGTCTGGATAAATTGTCAGTCCTTCATTACGTAAACTATAATTTTTGTGTGAGCGTGGCTACCTCTCTATTCAGAACTTGAACAAGAAAATGCTTATCAGTTTCTTTGCGTAACTTGCAAGATGTCAACTGTTGTGGGAGAACCCTTCTGGCATTTCTTTTTCACTGAATGAATAGACTTTTGTCCATTTCAGGTTCCCTCACCCCAAGGGCCACCTGTTTGCTTATTTGATTTTTGGATTAAATGTAGGAAAAAAAGTTCCTTTAAAACTGTTCGAGTCAGAAGTCATATTTGCAAAGGTTGAACTGTTTCTCACACCACTAAATCAACATCATTTCTTCTTCAACATCATTTCCTAAAAGTAAATAAATTGCAGTGCTATCACAAATAGTGTTCTATAGCCACTGAACCAGTTGTCAGAACATGCACTTTTTTTTCACTTCCACCTTTTTATCTTGCACTTCTAAATTGGGGCTTATGAGCCACATTTGGCTGTCTGTGCACCTTAACTGCAGCTTACAAGCTACATGAAGTTCTTTGACCTCTTAAATGAGATTCACCTACAGCAAATACTAGTCTTATGTCTGAAATATTGTTGACTTTTTTGAAACAAAAGTTATGCAATGAAACTCTTTATCAATTAGTAATTTAATTTCTTCAATTATATTGTGTGGGTAGTAATTTAATTGATTTCAAAATGCTTACATATCAGTAATTAGAAATATTATGAACGAAAGGCAAATAACATTGTTTCTGTGAATTTATGTATTGGCCATTTTATATTTAGAGCAAATAATAGCTATTGGGACAGCACAAAGGACACAAATGGAAGTTATCTAAATATAATGTACTTTTAATTTTTTTCTTTACTCTAACAGGTTTTATATTATTTCAAGCAGTTTCTTTCTCCTTACAGTCTTTCTATTTAGTTCTATGTTTTGGAAGATTTGGTATTCCATGTAGGGTACTCGATTTTTTTGTTCGTCGAATGACTTTGGCAATTGCTGAATCTTTCAAGAAGACTTAGAGGTCCTCTTAAAAGAAGGAAAGATATGGCTTACTGTTTGGTATGTTTCAGACTGGCATGGCTAGATTAACTCTTTAGAAGCCCTAAGCATTTGAAAGATTTTGGGGCCTCCATATAGATTTACATGGGTTTTCCCTCTTTCATTCTCTCTGGTTCTTGGTTTAGCTATACCATACATTCCATGGTCAAACTGGGAATGGGAAATTTTTTTGATGTCCCCTTTCTTTGAGTCCCTAGTTGTAGTTCTCCCTTTTCTTGAGGCCCTAAGCACGTGCTTTATAATGCTTCCAGCTCTGTAAATTGGGGAAGTATTTGATGTTTGGGGACTCCTGAATAGACTTTATGATGAATGAGACCATATTTGGTCAATACATCTGTCACAACTTGCCCATGTATGGATGTGGATTAGCAATGAAAATGTCCATCCATAAGTATAAGCAAGTTGGGTGTTTTTCATACATTATTCTGCACAATTTTTGCACCATATTTTGCTGTCTCATTTTTTCAGCTAGAACACTATCTTTTGTAATGATTCCTTGGTAATCCTATGCAGAGGTCATCATTTACTTGATCTGTGACTGTGCATATCAAAATTTTTCATGTAGGGAGAAAGATGGTTTTTCCCCCCACTGGATTGACGGTGATTTCACATCTGATTCGTTGATTTCTAATCAATGTTTTATCAGATTATTCAATACATATAGTTTTTCTTTTATTAATTTTTTTAAATACAAATATTTTTTCTTTTATTGTTAAATTATTGTTTTAATAAAGTTGCATGAAAAAGTAAGAACCCATGGGGCACAAACATTCCCTTTATACTAAGCTTTTCTCCAAATATGGTTTATTGATGCTGGAAATTATTGAAATATTTGTTTGCTTGCTGCTGGATAATACTCTACCTTTCTAGCCCATTATAAGTGTTATCACACTAAAGACCTGTCATTGTCAGTCAATATTTCTCATGTTTTCCTGGCTTTTGATTATCTTGTATGTCTGACAGATTTTCTTTGAAAGTAAGTAGTTAAGTGACATTTTCATACAATGCACTGTAAGATTGATTCTATTGCAGTATCTTCACGTAAATCTTCAGTTTCGGGCAACTTGAATCCTTTCAAATAATAAGAAGGAAAAGGGGGGAAAAAGAAAGCATTTTACGTATTACTAATTGTTAGTTAAGGCTGAATTTAAAATTGACTTTTAACAGAAAGCAAATTTAATAATTCATTTTTAAGGCACATATTAAAAAGGATGCAAATAAAATTCAATTAATGAAGACAGTAATTGAACTCTTGAATCTTGAGGTTCATTTTCTCAACATAATTATCAAACTGATTGAGTAATACCTCAGATTTTAATTAAGAATTCAAAATTGAGCAACCATGGCTGAATAGTTCGAAATGGTAGATGGAATTATGTTTAAGATGCAATATTTATATGCCACGTCACGAGTTGTTAGAAACCTTAAAATCTATTTATAGTGAGTTACCTATATCCAGAATTATTGAAAGGATTCTACAGTTTTGAGAATTTTCAAGAAAGCACAACTTAGTTTCTTGAGAATTATGGCAGATTTTGTTGGATAACATATTGGGAGAGTGTAGTGCTCAGGTTCGTCACAAAGTGATTCTAAGGATTCATCCTCCTTTTTTAGTAAATGCTTTTACTAAGCATCAGTAAAATTAATCTTTCCAAAGCTCTGAGTAAAAAACAGTGTTAAAGTTAAGATTCAAATGATAAAAAGGGCACTAAAATTTGAGTTTTGGAAATCCACAGGATCTGAGAATCTGTCCTATGCTTAGAAGAAATGAACTATAACTGAATATCCAATCTGTATTTAAACAATTAAATCACTTTTTAAAATTTGATGTTAGTGTGTTGCCCTGGTGTTACTTGTGGAAAAAATTAAATTTATTTTGCATGAAACCCCAGTAAAACACTTAGCTTATTTTTAAAGCAATTTTCCTTTCCCGTGTACAAAGTAATTTTGCTTAGAAAGTTCTTAACAAAGGCATCTATCCCCTTAAGCTTATAGCCTTCATAAGTTTGCATATTCAGATAAACAGAGAAACTAACCTTTTTCTGGACTAGCAATTTCATCATAGTCTGCACTGTCATGTTTCATTTATTTTCTTTCCAAAGAGGTGTATTTGAATTATGGGAAAACTTCTAGATCTGTTTTCCAAATTAGTGCTTTATTTTCCATTTCAGTGAAAGCCTTTTACATTATAATACTTGCAAAAACCATTATAATTTCTTCTTTTGATTTCCATTTATCTCTGCTAAAACTAGTCAACAATTATAAATCTGGAGGTTGCAGAATAAAATGCTTATGTTTTTGTCTGAAAAAAGAGAATTTTAAGTTCTGTCTTAAGTAGGTTTGAATTTCTATATCATTGGAACAAAGTTTGCTAAATGTAGAGCAAATATGTAATCATATTATATACATAAATACGATAAAAAATTGTGGCTCTCAAAATTTCTTGAATTCCGAAATGCGATTCGTACTGGCATGAAGCTGGCCACTGCTGATATATAGTTTTACTCTGTGGCCGTTTTTGCATATACAGACAAATGTGGGGTAAAATGCCTTATTCTTGGAAGAATATACCATTCTTCCTCAGTCATCAGTAAATCAAAAATTGTTAGCATATTTATGAAAGAAGGAAATACATAAACGTGCAGCAACACACAGCTGTTCTCATATAAGTGAACTAGGTAAATAAATCTTGTTATGACTGCCATTGATAATGATTTAACACTATCCATGGTGACGTTAAAAAAAACAAAGCCCATAAAAATAAGGAAATACTAGTTAATTTAGAGCAATTTAAATATATATTTCATTCTGTAATATTGTTAGTCCAAAGAGGCTTTTTCCCTGAGGGACTGTCATTTTCATTTTGCGATTTTGCATTGAAAACTTTAAAAGGCTGTATCACTTTTCAAATTGTTGCCACCAAATACTGTCGCCATGTATTATATTTGAAGAAATTAAATAATCAAGAATCTGCATAAATGTATCTATGTTTCTCGCATTGTGATAAAACAACGGTACCTAGATCCATCAAATTTTTAATGACGTAATCCTTCTGTGAATATGGGCATCTGAAAGCCCAAATTTGAAATTTGGAATTTGTTTTATTATCGATTTCATATTTTGTAAAACTTCAATGAATTTTTGATTAACAAACTCAATGATTTAAAAGCGAGCAATGGCAACACTCTATTGGGGGGGGCATTTTATCTCCAGTGCACGAAACTGTGTATCGGAAATTTTAAAGATATGCTCATTTTAAAATTATTTTGAGAAATTGCTGTTGAACTGAATTTTATGGTTTAACTGCAAAGAACATGGTATTTAATAAATAAAGGTAACACACAAAACGTTAAAAAAAGTCCCTTTGGATGTAATTTAAAATCTGAAATCTTTCAGATTTTTTATTTTTACTTTTTTTTTTTTTTTTTTTTTATAGATATGGTCATGTCGACATTGCTTTTGTATGCTTCACCTGTCTTGTATTCAAAAATGGGCTAAAGATAGCTTGTTTAATTTATCAGCAAACTCTGAAAGGGATCAAGATATAAAATACTTGAAGTGGTGCTGGTAAGTATGTAAAGTTGAGTTTTAAAACATATCTCAATTTGCTGAAACATAAACATGGAAAAAGCTGCAAGGAGCAGAAAGTACTGTGAAATATAAACTATGTATTTTGTCCTAAAACTATTTTCTTATTATACTAAAAGTGTGTATTCTATTAGTAAGTTTCTTATTATGCTAAAAGTAAAACTGCATTTTCCTATTATACTAAAAGTGGAGATTTTTTTTCCCAGGGTCTAAAGCCATTATTATTTTCATTAAAGTTTTTGTTAACGTCTGCATTGCAATATTAAAGTTTTGAATAATTAAGTGAACACTTACAGGCTAGGTGCCTTAAGAAATTTGCTAAATGCAAAATTCCAAGCATTGAAACCAGCTTTAACATTTAAAATTAAGCAAAGGAAAACATAATTTGACTTTAATTTTGAGTAAAATTATCAATTTTGAGGGCAATCAGACGCAAGCCTCTCCTCTTCAGAAGCAAAAAGAATTCTTATTGGTAGCTGTAACTGATTGTACTTTATTTATTCCATTTTTAATATTCTTCAAATTGTGTTTCTGTAATTTAAAGGCAATTATTTAATAATTTAATTTAAGTGCCTTTGCTTTCACTAATTTAAAGTTTGGCTTTTGGAATTTTTAATTATTGCTAAGAGCTTGTGGTATAGATATCTTCTATTCTTAAAGTGATTTATTAAATTTTGCATTTAATTTCCTTTGTATTCTTTTGAATCTGTATATTGTGTTTTTCATTCCATTTCATAAATTATAAAAAGTGTTTCATACTGCAAGTATAACTTGGCATAGAAATATTTTAAATAGTAATTTTAACCCCAGCACTGTGTTTAACATTTGCAGCCCAAAATGCAGAAGTCAATATTCCAGTGAAGAAAGGCCTACAAAATGCTTTTGTTTTTGTGGGAAGATTGAAAATCCATCATATGATGTATGGAATGTCCCTCATTCTTGCGGAAACTCGTGTGATAAAAAACTAGAACCAGACTGTGGTCATACTTGCTGTTTGTTATGTCATCCAGGTAAAATTAAACTTTATATCATTGTATTCTTACCTTTTCTTTTTTGCTATTTGTTAAACCATGCTGGTAAAAATTAACCTTATACCATTGTGTTCTTACCCTTTAAAAAAATTTTTTTTTTTTGCTGTTTGTTATGTTGTCAAGGTAAAAGTGTTCTTTAAACTATTAATATTGTGCTCTTGCATTTATATTAAAGGGTTGAATTTAGATTGCTCTATGTATTTTACAAAAGTGTAATATGTAAAATTCATTTAAATCTTAATTTTTTTAGCTTATTTCTGTATTTTAAAATCAGACAGGTTTTTGTTTAATGAAGTATTCTTCTTAGTGATTGTTATAATTGTTTAGTCTAATGTTTTGGTGATAAACTGTAAACATGCATAAACTTGAAACAAACTTACATGTTCAAATTTTAGTTTTATATCGCATAAAAATGTATTTTTTAGTAAAATTTGTTCTGTTTCTTTATTTGATTTGTACAAAGTTCTTTTAATCATTCTTCCGATTTGACATTGGAGTAACCTATTCTCAGTTCTGCGTTTCATTTATTCTTTGTCATATAGCTGAATTTTCACTAAAAATGAATACATCAAATACTGTTTCTCTTTTCTCCCCCATCTATTTGCCCAATAGTGGTGAAATCACTCAACACTGGTAGCATGGTGTTAGTTTGACCATTGAACTACTATTTTTGAATCATTTTACTATACTGCTGTTAGTTCAACCCAGGTTCAGATCCTGGTGAATAAGCTGGTGTTGTGGGAGTGTTTGTGGTTTTTCATGTGTGTCAGTGTAATATCCCTTTAAAAGTCTGTCACAAAGGTATCTCTCCTCTTCAGCAGACAGTGCTTGTGTATATTACAGTAATTCAAATAATACAATTCTTGCTTATTTACTGGTATAAAGCCGAAACGATTTTAAGATGCAAAGCTTTACATGTTTATTTTTAATGTAAAGTAGTTGACTGCATTTTATAGTTTATTCATACCTTTCTTTCCAGGTTATGCCTTTAATACTCTTAATTATGTTACATTTTATATAGGGCTATAATGCTGTGTCTGATCTTCAAAACATCCAATGATTTGGTGTGATTTTAGTTCACATCTTTGGAGAAACATCTAAGCCTAGACATTTGAAATGAACTGAATAGTAGTTTTCCATCTCAATGATGTGTTTCCTAATATGGAAGATCCAAAGCAAAAGAAGTCATATCATACTTGGATCTGATCACTTGACTTAGTTCAAGTCTGATCATACTTGGATGTATAAGATATTAAATATGATTATTTCATCATTGTACTATGCAAAATTAATACAAAAGGTCAGTTAAACTGCTAAAATTCAAAAATAGTTTAAACTGAAGTGATGTGTGGAAGCATATTGCTTTTATAACATTATGTCTGAATGATTTACATGATGCAACAAAAATCTTTTTAGTTTTCTGTGAGGACATTTCCTGCAAACTTTCTTCTCTCCCATTTTTAGTAATCCTTTAGTTAAATTAAAATGAACCTGAAATTAATTTAATCTATATCAAGAATCTCTGAAATTAATTTCATCTATATTAAGAAGTATATGAAGTGGGGGCTTTGCTTATTTTCTGGTTTAGAATTACTTAAAACCTCCACTGCAGTTCAGCTCCTGTGTAATTAAAGCTACATAATTCCTTAAGAAATAATCAATATTTTAAATCAGAGCTTTTTGTGTTAATTACATGGTAGAGTGAAGCTGTATAAGAAATATACATGCATCATAGGAACATTTCCTTAAAAATACTGAAAAAAATAAAAGTGTTGAAGATAGGCAAAATGAACAAACTGTGCTAATAAAATTACCATTCAAGGCAGTAGTCCATTAAATTTTTAATGACCTTGTTTCTTCACTATGGTTTAATTACCTTTTGCAATCTACTGGGTGTCTCAAAACTTATTTACAAACTTTGCAGTAGAGGAATGTAAATAAGAACTGTATTTACTTAGGAAAGCATGCCACCTGAGGAGATCGAAGACACATAAATACAGCAGGAACACAGTACTGAAAGCAGATTAAAGCACTTATTAAAAAAAATCTAACAGAAAAACATCTTGCAGATGCAGAGTACAATTTGACGAGAGGTATTCAAAGTTCTATTTGTAGTGACATGCCTTATGTCTGTTTAAGAAAAATTCAAAAATTTGGCTTTGATTTACTATTACATGATTTCACTGCACTTCAGTAAATACTGAACTATTAAGCAAAATATTTATCATGTTCTCAGCCTTTTATTTCATTAGCTGATGCCTTCACGGAGCAGTTTTTGCCATTAATTCTGAATCGTTAATCTGTGATGACCCACTAGTCACAGAGCATTAAAGTTGCTACACCCTGCTATTTAGTTTGATCTGGGTTCTAATCCCAGCAAACAGCTGGTGGCATGGAAATTTTCTTTGTTTTTTACGTGGATTCGAGCCAGTTTCTCTTTAAAAAAAGTTCTGCACAAGGGCATTCATCCCCATATACGGCTACTGAGTTAATTTGCCTTAATCAGTATAATTTAAATTTGTAATGGATGATTTAATTATTGAAATCCATTTGTTGGCTAGAAAAGAATTTCATGTTTTAACTTGAGTTTCAGACCACCGTAAAAATAATCTAGTTATATCTACTTTGCTGAAATTTCCACGTTTATAAACATTCTTCTCAATTTCATTATTTATTCACTTAATTAGTTTTTGAGAATAGAAATTTCTTCAGTTTCGTAGAAAGAAAATATCATGCTTAGCGAATCAGCTGTATGTCATTTACCAACTGCTTTGATGAAAATAACAAGAAAATTCAAATACGTATTAAAAAATGTGGTGCATATGTACTGATTTTTTAAGCATTTAGATTTAATAGTTTAAATTTCCTCAAGGTTGTAGATAGTTATCTGAAAATGTTTTTAAATTTCTTAGCTCATTAAAAAAAATTGTAGAAGAATACTGTGGGATGACATCATTGATTAAATTGAGAAAAACTACAAAATATATTTATAAAAAACACTGTTTTGTATTTTATATGCCAAATAATAAATGTAAAGAAATGCTTGATTTAAAAAAAGTATGAGAGTGAAATGATGATGAGAGAATGAAGCAGAACCAGAAGGTTTGTACTGAACATGTGAGGGTAATTTAGATTTTTTGAAAATGTGACGAAATATAAATCAACTTGAATAAGTGAGATGGTGTAGAGAATCAAAATTTGTACTAGGATGAGAGCACATTGTAAATGGTTTTGGTGTTTTCAGAATGGCAGCTTTTTACCTTATTTTGGTGACATCTACAGTTTTATGAAAGCAGTCCAATTTAAATTTTCCTAATTTTAAATATTTCTAAAGTACTCTGTTTTAATTTTTTTAACATTGTAATACTTACACCAATTTTAAAAGTTTATTCTTGAAAGTAATAGCAATTTTTATTCAATTCAGTCATTTGAATTTTATTCAGATCTTTTAAATATATGTAATTATTGAGTAGAAATTAGATTTAATATGCTTTATGATGATTTCAAATCATAGGGGTGAGTTTTTAATCCTGCCTCCAAATCTTCGTAAACTTTACAAGTCCATTCTTTACATTGCATATTTTTGCATCTCACTATAATGGAATGTGAATTTTTTTAAACTTCAGTTGTTATCATCTTAAAATTAGGCAAAGCAGTGATCTTGTGTTTGGCATAGATTTTGAGGCCAAAGAGGTACAGGTCCCTTTAAATCAGGAGCAAACAATTCTGCAATAAAGGGTATGCAACATGGGTATTTATACCCAAAAGGAGTAAAGCAAATGAGAAGATAGTGCCATCTGTCTTCTGAAATAGCAATGAAAATTGAACAACTGAGTTATTGGATTTTTAAAAGGGTTGGGAAGGTCTGGATTTAAATTAAAGTCATTAACCAAACAAGATAAATCAAAAGATGCAAAAAGCTTCAAGGAAATCTCATTTACCAACTAAAGAAGCCTTTTTGATAATTTTTAGGGATCCAAAGTCAAAATTGCAATTAAATTTTCAAGTGTAATTAACTATGAAATACTTAGTAGTTTCCTCTTTTTCTATATAAGATTTGTATTCATTGATGTGAAACTTTTAACACTGTTTTAGTTTGCCTGATATATCTCAAGCCTTACTGCCAAGATATGCTATAAATTCCCTAAAAATTAAAGTCAGAAATGGAGTCTTTAAGAATCAAACCATAGATTTTATTCATAGGTGAGAAAATTAATTGAAAATTGAACTTCTGGAGAATCTGTGCAGATTTGTAATTGAGAATGAGATAAAATGGAAGAACGACAAAGTTATAAATGTTTTTCCTAACAGTGGAATGTCTTCTTCGATGGCAAGATTAAAATTTTTTAAATGCATTATTATGGAGCGTGGGAGAAAAATCCACTAGTGACAACTGATTTCACGTATTTAAGTTCATTAGCAAGCAAAGATTCCAAGGAACAAACTTTAAGAGTTGCAAAATACATAACAGTGAAAAGAAGCCATTTCTTGCTTAGCTGGATGACATGGTTTAGCTTGGGGAGGCATCAGAAAGTGCAAAAATGTTATCTATATAGCAAATCTAGAGACGAAAAGATAGTTTCTGAAATAATTTGATCACAAAATAGTGCATGTAAATGTCAGCAAGTACAGGACTGAGGGTATTACCTATAGCTAATTGTTTAATTTAGCTATAATACTTGTCCTGGAAAACAAAGTGGGTTTGATTGAAATAATCTTTAGTAAGAGAAATTAACTGAATAACTAGTTTCAATATGTGTGAAATGGAATTCTGGAAGACCAATTTCAAGACATTTTAGTGCTTCTTTGACTGCTCACTTTTTGACGATGATAAAAATTTGTTTTAGATTTTATCCATTGTAAATGCGATTGATCAGCCATCCAGTTCAATTTTGAAACTGAATCTTAAATTTTTTTTCCTTGATATCTTATAATCTGCAATGAATTTGATTTCAGTATTGTGGCTTACTTTAAACTTTTTTTTTTTTTTTTTCCTTGGCCTCTCTATGCTAAATCATGTCACCTAGCTAAGCCAAGAATGGTTTCTTTTTACTGTTATGTGTTTTTCACTCTTAAAATTTGTCCCTTGAAATCTTTGCTTGCTAATGAACTCAATTATTTGAGATCAGTTGCCACTGACAGAGGATTTCCTCCCATGGTCATTGATAGACCCTTTAAATTTTTTTTTCTCCTCCCATCAAGGAATACATGATAGTATTTGTTTATAAAGTATAATTTTAAGTTTTAATATTTTGGCAACATTGATATTAAATTGAAAACAGAATAAGTTAAAAGATGTATCTGGCATCTAGAGAGTTTGTTATGGTTTTGTGGAATGCAGTAAGGTTTCTTATGCCTACTTTTCTAATAAAGTTTTCTTTTTATATGATATTATAACGTGTTTTTATTAGAAGTAGATAATTCTGCAGAGAATATCATTTATATGCCAATCTCAAACCAACAATACATTCCACTATTAGAAATGGCATTTATAACCTTGTTGTTCTTTCATTTCATGCTTCGCTCAGTACCAAATTTGCATGGATTCTCCAGAAGTTGAATTTTAAAGTTATTTTCTCACCGATCAATAAAATACATCATTTGATTCTTAAATATTCCATTTTTGACTTTAATTCTTAGACAATTTATAGCATATCTTGTCAGTGTAATTTGCGATATATCAGCCAACTAAAAGAGCCTTAAAGTTTCACATCAAGGAACATGAATATGTTCAAAAAGGTGAGATTAATAAGTCTTTGAAAGCTAATCATAGTTGGAAATTTAATTACAATTTTGATTTTGAGTCTGCAAAAAGTAGCCAAAGAGCTTCTTCAGTTGATGAATTGGATTTTCTTGAAGCTTTTCACTCCCACAAAGATTTATTTTATTTGGTTCATGACTTTTATTCCAGTTCAATCCTTCCTAACCCTTTTAAAATTCTATTAATTTAATTTTTCAGTTTTCGTTACTATTTCTGTAGACAGACTTGCTAGCTTCTCATTTGCTTTACACCTTTTAAGTATTAATACCTCCATGGCTTACTCTTAATTGCAGATTTCTTTTCTCCTGATGAAGAGGGACCTGTACCTGCTTTCCTTTAAAGTTCATAGTTTTAACTAAAGTCTATGAGAAACACAAGATTATTGATTTGCCTAATTTTATGTTTTACCATGGCTTGTTTCTCTTCTCTTGTTTAACTATTCCAAATATTTCATTATACAGTGCAAAGTCCGAGATTCAGACATCCAATATCTGGAGTGATCTAAAATCCAGACCTCAAAGACACCAACTTTTTAAATTTTATTTATTTTTTTTTTTTGTGTGTTTTGCGTATGCTTATTTGATTCTCTCCATGCATTATAAGACATATAGAGAGTCCCAATTCTTAATTTAACTTTGGCAATAACTAAAATACCTCTTTATTGAAGAATCAATCATTTTAGCATAAATTTGTATGATCAATAATTTGGCTCCGTAGCTACGTATCTGCTTAGCGTACATCTTAGACCGAAACATACTACATAGATACACCATTGATTTTACTCCTACTAATATTTTATATCCCTGATGCCAACCTGGCGAATCATTATTTATTATATCAGGGGTGGCCAAAGTGCGGCCAGCGAGCCTGATACGGCTCTCGCAGGCAATTTGTGCGGCTAGTGCATATAAAATATATGTATGAAATATGGTGAACTAAAACTATTCAGTGTCCAAAAGGAAGTAATTAATTAGTTTAGACTCTTTTGACAAAGTTATCAGGGTTTTCTTTCTATTTAAAATCCCCTCCTCTACTTCTATAATGATCTAATATGAACTGGCTTTTAGAAAAATCTAGATGCTGCTCTCAAACATTCCTGATTTCAAACGCTCGGCTCTTACTGACATGAAGTTTGGCCAACCCTGTATTATACTTCGCTTTCATCACCATATATTTATGAACAGATGACAACTTGAGTATTGACTCATGCAGTTGATGCCCAAACAATTTTTTTAATATATTAGTACAAAGATTATGGTAACCTATTATGTTGAATTCCGCTTTGCAATGATTACAGGTTTAAGTTAAATGCACTAAGAAATATTGACAAGACAAATTTTAACAAAAATCTCAGCTTTACACATGCACATTTGATCCCACCTCCGCGCATAATAAAACATCTGGAGAGTCTCGATTCTTAATTTCACTTCGACACTAAATAAAATACCTTGTTATTGAAGAAACAACCATTTTATCATAAATTTGTATGATCAGTAATTTGGCTCCATTGCTGTGTATCTGCTTGGCATACATCTCAAACCCAAACATTCCACATAGATAAATCAATTATCTGACGCCAACCTGGCAAATCATTATTTATTATACTTTCCTTTCATCAATGCATGCTTATCAAAACATGACAAATTGAGTAATGACTTACGTAGAGACACATAAACATATATATATTTTTTTAATATTAGTAATTGTATAACAAAGAGTATGGTAACCTTTTTTTTTTTTTTTTTTTTTTTTTTGACATTACACTTGGCGATGATTACAGATTTAAGTTAAATGCATTAAGAAATGTTGACAGGAAAAATTTAACAAAAATTTCTTTCCATATGCTAAAAATAGATTTTGTTATTGATACTCATAGGCCAAAAGATAACATTTAGTGCTATTTGAATTAAGAATAACTGATTTGTTATTCACATAAATCTAGAACGAGCGCCAGATCTTGTATAGCCGCACTGAGCAACAGAATTTAGGGAGGATAAAGGGAGGCACTTAGTAGCAGAATTCATGACCTGCAGAGACTGCATCTTGCAGTAAGATTTCTAGCGCCGGCCCTCAATAAACCTATATATATATATGGGAATTTATTTATTCAGGACACAGATAAGCCTTAAGCATGTGCAACGAATAATCCTAAGCATAATAAATAACTAATACAATTCAGGCTTAATAGTCTGGTGCTTGATAGAAGTAAGATAAAATTTAGCAGAACAACTTGTCTTTAGTTGCCAATCTCATGATACATAGCCTAATATATATAGGTGAACGATAGCTAAATTTTATGATAGCAAATCGGTTTTCAAATGTTGCAAACAAAAGATGAAATTTTCCAATTAACGGATTTTGTATAGAAATGTGGAGAAGCAGTAATAAATGAAGATGATATAAAAAGTTTTTCGTTGTGATGACAATGCTCCTCAATCATCAAGCAATCAATGGATGGCAAAATCTGTAGCATGGTCCTAGATCCAGAAAATACCACTATCTATAGTGAAAAAAGTTACAGAGAGGTTTCTGAAAACGAAAAAATTTTGATTGACAATTTGTTTGAAATTCTAGACACAGCAATTGCAGGTCTTCAACAATTGAACTTTATAACTGAACAAGAAATGATGTCTGTGTATAGAATTAAAGAGAAAGTATTAGGACAAAAAACGAAGCAACTTAAACAACTTGTAAGAAATGTTTATTGAAGTAAACAAATAAATATTAAGCTTTTTTTTCCTAAATTTTGATACCCTTTGGATTATAAATACTTCATTATTTCACATTTTTAATTTTGTTATTTTGTATGCCATCTTACTGGATTTAAACTGATGATCTATTATCCAGAAGAATCCCAAATCCGGAATTGCGGAAGTTCCGATGAGTTTGGATCTTGGACTTTGTTCTGTATCAAAATGTGCCGGTTTCTAGCAATAAATTCATTTTAGTTTACTAACTTTTTATGTGCAATTTATGTGAATAATTGTCATGCATTGTATAATTTATGATACATTAGTAACCACAAAACTTTTCCAACCTTTGTAGTGTAGGGTTTAACAAGACTTTATGTATAGTTGTATACACTTGAAAAAGAATGTATGTTTTTTAGGAATATTTAGTTTATGTTCAGGAAAACTTGAATTATTTATTCAGGGTTACAAATGGAAACTGAATCCTTCTCAAAATTCTGTAGTTTTAATGTCTTCTAAATATTTCAGTCTTGATGTATTTCCTAGGTCCATGTCCACCATGCCCCAAAACTGTTCTCGTATCTTGTTGCTGTGGGAAAAGCAATACTGTTTCCAGAAGATGTAGTAATAAAGAATGGTCTTGTGGGAAAACGTGTGGCAAAATTTTATCCTGCAAATTACATTTATGTGATGAGCTTTGTCACCAAGGTAAGTAATTTTAAAACTACAATTTTAAGGGCCAGACCTTGGTTTAGCCAAAGTCTGTATTACCTAGCCAGTCTCTAAGCAAACTAGAAGTGAACGTCCATTGCAGAATTATTCTCTGCTTATTATACTTAGGTACAATACAGTGAGCTCAATTGCTATATGTGCATAATCTGCAGGATACTCGAGAAGGAAAATCATAAAATGAATCTTTTGGGGGGGGGTATTACATTTTATGTGATTTTTTGTTTTGGAGGTCAGTTGTTTCGTATTAAACAAAGCAGCTAAAATTTATGTGTAAAATGAAAAATTTTTGCAATTAATTTGTTAAAGTGTGGTGAATATTTTAATAATTGAAATATTTTGACTGAGAAGGTCTCAAAGAAATTTTGATTTTATATTTACAGAATCATCTCACCCATCAAGTGTCTTCAAAGATATGAATAGTGTAACACATTTACAATACGTATACTCTAATAACATAGAGGTTTTTATGCAAAGAAGAATTAATGTATTAGTATGAAGGCAAAATGTATTAGAATTCGTTGCTTAGTCATGTCTGTCAAAACACAAAATGGACAGGTTGTTGAGTGTGCAAGTGCATACGATGATGTTTTTGTAAATAGTCATGGCCAATACTTAGACAAAAGTTAACCATACTTGCAGCTCTAGGTAGGTTATGGGAAAATGGAGCCTGTAAGAAGGAACTCCAGGATATCTTCCTAACAAATTCTTTAGAGGTTTTGCCAATATATATAGATGGACTAATAAATTTTGCGTAACTCTAAAAAAGTGAACAAGATAGAACAGCTGAGTAAAGTCAGAATCAGCCTGATGAAGTCATCTGCCTGGTCATTTCCTATATACCACTAGGTAGAGTAATTAAAATTTCATTCCCCTTTTAAAATTATTGAGTCATTGTAACACACTGAATTTTTAACCTGAAAGGATGCAATATGCATATGGTTGTACATTAATCTGTATTTTTTGCTCTGTAACTTCTGTTAGTTGAATAACTGGTGTAGTGGTTTTTGTTAATTGTCTAAGGGCTTGCATAAGACATAGATATATTTTAGTGATTTGTGATGATTTGTATGTTAGTCTGTAACTAATTTGTTTTGTATGAAGTATCTAAGGGAGCAAACTGAATGAAGTTAATAGTTTGTGTGTAAGCCTGAATTAACTTTTGACTAAATGTTCTTAAAATCCTAAAAGAGTGAAATTTGAGAAGCCGAGATGTCATTCAGTAAAACATAAAATTGCATATTATGAAATACTCAGCAGAGTAGTGTTTTCATACATTTGCATAATATTAAAGTGTGTAATATTTTGCTTATAGTGAAGGGAAACACAAGAACTTTTATATTATTAAAATGGTTCAAAAATATCTTAAACTCAGTTATCTTGAGTTTTTATCTCTTTTTATACGCGTACATTTCCATAAAGTAAGTCCTAACAAATGAAATGAGCTGTTCCAACATTTGTATTCTTTATAATTATTTGCATTTTAGGTGCATGTCCTCCTTGTAAAAAGCAGAGCAAACAGAAATGTCAGTGTGGCAAAGAAACAAAACTCATGCCTTGTAATGATCCAGATTGGAAATGTGAAAAAGTGTGTGGTAAACTTCTGAAATGTGGAAATCATTACTGTGAAACTGTTTGCCACAAAGGACCTTGTTTGGGATGTCCTAATTCGGGTCCAAGGCCATGCCCATGTGGAAAAAAAATGTCGTCATTACCTTGCACTGATAACATTATTCCTTGTGGAGACACATGCAATAAGCTTTTGGAATGCGAGTTACATCGTTGCACTCAGAGATGTCATTTTGGCCCCTGTGAAAAAGTAAGATACTTTGAAAAACTATTGTACTTATTTAGGATGTTAATAAATTGATTTTGATTAGTCATGATTTAAAAGGTGTAAATTAAAATTTACATTTATTTCATTTTATCAAATATTATTCTCAGAATGGATATTGTTAAAACATCCTAATTATTTTATCTCATGTGAAAATATTTTATGGTTTCAGCCTCACGCATAGTATTCCTTTCCATAGTATTATTTTCCTTTGCCTCAGCATGTCTTATCATATAGCTCCTTGTATATCATAGTGTTTGACTTTTTTTTTTTTTTAATAATAAAGTTGTGTCAGTTGCATTTACTGGATGGCTGTGTTTTAACATTAAATCATGCTTTTGTTAGTTTTTTCACAAAGTTCTGTATGTCAACTACTTTTAAACCATTGTACGGAATACTGAAATTGTTAACAAATTTTTTGAAGAGTTTTGACCATTTAATTATTATTTGAAATGTAAAAATATATTGTTTAAATGCTTGATGCCATGGCATTTTTTTCTGGACTGTTATTCTGTGTTGATTTTCATGATACAAGGCTTCATGCAAAATTTTGAGGGTTTTTGCTTTCCATTCCACTTCAGTTCCGTTTCAGAGTTCGTCAATAGTGATGTGTCTGCTTTTAGAAAAGCTTTTTTCAGTGGGTCAAAAGTTCTAAATGCTGGGAGATTTTCAACAGAAATGTGCTGGAAAGGTGCCCATACATGCCTTTATGCAATGCCCATACGTGTCTTAATTTTTTTTCAGGAATGTAACAGCAACTTTTGAAGTATATCTGTTGTCTTTGTATTAGCGCAGTTTTACTCTTTGAAAGAGGTTGAAATTAAAAAAATGGAATTTCTTCTGCCAGCATGGGATATAAGGCATTTTTCGATAGTCTGGTGATTTGATTTTTAATATTTTCTCCTTTGCAGCTTTTGAACTTTTTACATTAACAACTTTTGAGATTTTAAACATTTAACAGATTATTTTTAATTTCTCATATTTAATTCTTAGAAAAACTTAACAACCATTCTGTGATTGAAAATTTCTTTGCAGTGGGTGAACCAGGTTTGGGCATAATTCTCTTCTTATTTATTTTTCCTTCCCAGCAGTTTATCGACCAAACCCATGCTTCTTCTAGGGTCACAAAATATTTCTGCTCTTCTTTTACTAAATGGTGTTCTTAAGAGTTCTGTACAGCATTTTGTGCATCCAACCATATGCTTTAACAAAAGAAAGTGAACATTGTTTTTTTTTTTTTTTTTTAGTTTTACAAGCTGTAAATCTTTGTTTATTATTTTATTTAGTATTACTACAGCTGCATTTAAAGACTCTGAAAGATTTCTATGTTGGTGAATTTGTTATACCAGATATTTCACTTTAGGAATATTAGAATGAGTACACACTTTTCTTTGAGCATTCATTTTTAGTGTTCTTTTTATGTAAATGATAAAAGTTTGTATTTTTCCTTTTCTGATTAATAATATTGCTTGTTTTTGAGTTAGAAATTTTAATATCATGAATTTTGAATTGCAGAGTAAGAATATTTTTGTTCGGAAGTGACAAAAAGTCTTTCAGTTCATGGCTTATTTACCTGCAAAGTTTTGAAAGAAGAATACATTTCAAGGATAATATTTCTCATTTCAAACAACATTGAGACATTTAAACAGATATTTTTCATATGAAAAAATATATTTTACCAGAAATGTTTGTTCTACGAGATCTGCTTTTTTTTAATCCTTTATTAAATTCCTTCTAAAAATGTGTCAAATGCCCTTTATATTTACAGTCAGTTTGGCATATTTGATAAATAATAAAAATTCGAAGAAATCAGTCATGGCTGATCAGTTTTGGAAACACAATTAAATCTGATTTATTTGCATTTATACATTCATTCCACTTTTTGCGTTATGATTGGAATCCTTTATCGAATTAAATTTTGCGTCATGATTGGAATCCTTTATCGAATTAAATTTTGCGCCATGATTGGAATTTTGTCTGGAAGTCCTTTGATTAATGTGTATCCTAGCACTTTGTGTCATTTAACTTGGATGTCATCTACAAGAGTCAAAGCAGCAGTTCTTCAGTTTATATTTAAGCTTCAAAATTAAAATAAAGGTGGAAAATCCAGTGAGTTAGGAAAAAAGAGAAAATGGTGAATTTCATATCTGCCTGAATTGTTACATTGTTGTGACAGAGGGCCTTTATGTGCTATTATGGTAAATAAAAACAGTTAATATAGCTCTGCATTTTTTTTCCTTGGCAATAAATATTTACTCCCACTTTAAAACATTGTCATAATAAGATACCATTTTGCCTGATATATGGCTGAAGATTTTCAGTATTGTGGAAAAGTCAGCATATCATGTGAGAAGTATCATGCATTCCTAGTTATACTTCGCCTTGTTTGTTGAATTCAGAATCCTAGTTTATAAGGCCTCTCTTCTTGGGGCCGTGGGTATGATTCAAGCTTTAATGTTTGTAATGATGTTTGACATGAAGCCAGGCCTGCTGCAGAGTTCCTGCAAGTAGCATGTACTCTTGTTTTTCATGCAACTAGGCATTCTTTGAGATCATCAGTCAGAACTAGGGAGGCAAATTTGGTCATTACATGTTTAAATTGATTATTAGGTTTGCTTGGATTAAGCCAAAAGATAACCAAGGAATATCTGAAACAGTATGGACTTGTCGTCAGTTATCTTGCAGAATAATTTTTCAATGTTTTCTTCCGTTTTGCTAATACTTTGATGTTCGAACATCTAGTCATACTTCAATGATATTTTTTCATCTTGATCCTTGTGTACTGTTTAAAACACCAAGTTTGCCTCATTGTTTCTTTGCTGTGGGCATGATAAAAGCCGATTTTCCTAATAACAAACAAAATTGGCATTGACATTTCATTCATATTTAGAGTCCATGGTGAAAAATCACAAGCTGCTGCTAATATATACTGAAAACAAAGCACCTTGTCTTAGTGTGTCAATTTGCTGATAATTTTGAAGGGAAATTGCATGTACTCATGTTACATATGAGAAAATCATTATACAGCCTGTTCAATGCTTAGGATAGAACGGAAGGTGAACTGTGAATGTTTTGCTGCATTCATATGAAGGTTTAGCTGTAATGCCATTGATGCAGTTGACATAGACCCTCAATATTGCTGCTATGTCAAGTCATATCTAATAAGAGTGATAATTGAAATTATGATTTTTGATTGCATCATTTCTCATTCAATTGATACATTAGCATGAATTATTTCAGAAATTCACAAGTTTCGTAAACCTTTTGCCTTCTTGCACTGAAATGTAATTCAGAAGAAAAACTGCAGACTAGAAAATAATGTCCCTGAAAATATGCATTTATTTTAGATTTTTTGGATTAATAATAATTTTCAATAATTGTGACTCTTGCAGTTTATCTTCAATCAATAAACTTCTGAAGATATTTGATGTGTTAAAGGATATTTTCGAATTTTTTATTTTGTTGAAATAAAATAAATGTATAATATTACTTTGAATTTGCATATTATGTTTTTATTCTGTATTTTAATAAATATGTGTAATATTCATTTTTGTGAATTAACAAGTTTCTATAGCTCTGACTATTTTGATATTTATTTTATTCATTACATAGTTCATGTCATATTTAATGATTTGTATTTTAGAGTATGAAATTTTGTTTTTAATTGTTAATGGCTTGTAAATGTCTACAACAGTTAGTAGAACTGATATTATTTCATCTCTAAATTTGTTATGCTTGATAAATTGGCAAAGATTTACAGATACAATGGGTTTTGAAGGTATCTGGACATTTTTATTTTTTGAAAGTTGCGGCAAAAGTAGAAAAAATTCCCAAAATAGCCTATATTTGAAGAACAACTTATAAAGAACCAGCCTTTGGTGATAAATGTGTGGAGGAAATCAAAAGATTTAATCCTGAGCTTAGTGAAAGAGCTTGCGATTTTAGCACAAATTGTAGTGCTTGAAAATGAAAGTTCTCATTATGTACTTTTTAATGCTCTTGTTAATGTTTGAACATATTGAGTATTTTTCAAACTAAAGTATTGGATTTTGTTCTTATTTATGGAGATTGTTATATGATAGCTTCAGAAATACTTGAGCTATGTGTCATTCTGTTTACTGTACTTACTTTCATATTTGATATATATTTTACTTTCTTGATATCAATTGTTCCATCATAGATCATCTTAAGTATAATCGTTGTGGAACTTCAGTAAAACTTGAACAGGCTGAACCCCCCCCCCCCCCAAAAAAAAAGAGGAGGACAGGAAATGAGGGGAATATAACATTACTGCAGTAAATAAAATTGAAGGAGCAATTTTGCTGTCAAATTTATTTAAAAAACCAATTCACTTTTCTGAGCGAGTCAGTGGTCTTTTGTTAAAACTGAATGATAGCTGTTTTAGAGTTCACCTACTGAGAGCTGTTACTAGAAGTGTGCCAGAAAAGTATGATCCCCATTTTAGGAGAGAAAGCTATTACAGTACAAAGTCCGAAATCCGGACTTGTCGGGACTTCGGTGATTCCGGATATGGGATTTTTCTGGATATTAGATCATCAGTATAAATCTAGTAAGATGGCATAGAGAAATTATAAAATTAAAAATATGAAATCGTGATTTATGAACTAATGAAGCATTTATGATTTAAAGGGTATCAAAATTTACAAAGCTTAATATTTGTTTATTAAAAGTTTCTTTAAATGTAAATTGTTTAAGTTGCTTCTTTTTTGTGCTAATACTTTCTCTTCAGTTCTATAGACATACATAATTTCTTGTTCAGTTACAAAGTTCCACTGTTGAAGTCCTGTAGTTGTGTTGAGAATTTCGACTAACTTTGTCAATCGAAATTTTTTTGTCTTCAGTAACCTGTCACTTTCTTCACTATCAGGAGCGGTACTTCCTGGATCTAGAACCATACTTACAGATTTCACTGTCTGTTAATTTACTGATGATTGGAGCATTGCATTGTCATCACAATGAAAATC